ATAAATTTTATAGTTACATCAAATTTGGGTTTCGAATTATTCGTACTTGTTTTATTTTTCTGAAAAGCGCATCCCATACTTCTACATAGGCATTAAACCAATCGTTCGTTTGGTTGCTTGATACCCTTTACGTGACAGCTGTGCTAGCTTCATAAGTTCATAGCCACAGTTTATGTTATCTGGAATCATTGGTAGCATTCGACGATGTGTTTACCCAATGTTTTATCTCTGACAGATTTCAAACTAGTGTCACGTTTGCATAATCTTCATCTGATTACAAGTACAAGTGCTTTATGCTGAGGTGCCGGCTATTTAAAATGGACTTCAAAAAGTGGCCATCAAAAGGACCGCCAAATGCTGAAAATGCATAGATCGGTGTCTAACTTGAGCAATTGGCGTTAGGCTCTAGTCATCATGGGCACCAATGGGTGAGAGTGGGAGCAAGGGTTAAGTACCTGTTTGCCTATTCACTTAACCTTCGCACTAGAGGGAGTTTGAGCATAAAAAGGAGCGCCTAGATGAAGATGGGACGTGAAGATATGAAAACGATGCATTTGGAACTCGGTTTTACGTCGTGTGCGCCGGTGATAATGATGCTCTTGGTGGCGTTGACCGAAGGCCAGCCGATCGCGCACGCAATGTGGGGCAAGACGCCGCAACCCACAACCACAGATGTGCTGTTGGACGGCGCTGCCACAACCATGGCCACAGCCACCATCGCCATCTCCGATACCACTGCCACCGCTACTATCAATGACTCCGACATCGCCACAGCCCACACCACTGATCGCCATTCAGATTCAGCCTCGACAGCGTCGACGTCGGCTGCAAAAAGGCCGATATTCGAGAGACTGCGCGAAACCTACCGGGCCGAGGATTATAACTATGACTTTTTGCGAGAAATGTAATGAGTTAGATGAATACATTTCCACTCTCATGCTCATTATCGTGCCCTATCCCCAACTTATTTCCAATATACTTAAAGACACCGTAATCTACCACACCTGTGTGAATATCAATTTTTATCCGACTCCTCAAGCGAGAAATGACCGGACCCGAATAGTAAGATGCAAAACCGTTCGTACATTAAAATGAATGAATTATGAACACTGGTTGACTCTTTTGGTCAGCAGGCACTGTGTGCCAGTAAATAAATAGTGGAGGCGTGAAAATCGGGACGTTTAATCTCACTGTGCAACCGAGACCTCGAAAACGACTTCGGGTTACTTTACTGGATATCCCATGTGGATAAATGACAAAGGCAGCCATATTACTAGAAGTCGGTTCGTATGGCGAGGTCGCAGAACTTTGAAGGCTACACTTGGTGATGTTAAATATGGGAAAAGCTTACCAACAATCTTATTAAGTTTACAGCTGCTAATAGTAAAGTAGTCCTGGTAATATTTCACTGATAATAGTATTACTGTTGACATTGCCCTTTAGTTTGTAGCGAAGTTTTGCGTTGTGTACTTTCAAAAAGAGGAAATAATATTTGACGTAAGACGATAAAGTGCAGACGTAAAATCACAAAAAATTGCAGCATACGTAATCAAATGAAAAAGAAAGCATGAGCTTGTACAATTTCAGTTCATATTCTACACAAAGTTGGCACGCATAAAGTATGAAATCGACAGAGATAAACCGAGATCAGTACTGTCACAGAAGTCAAAAGTACATGAATTAGCTATGAGACGTCGGCAAGGAGGGCGAGGGTGTTGAAGAAGAGGACTTGATCGTGCTGTGGCATGTTGAGGTGGTGCTCAAGATTGGAGAAGAAGGCGTTGCAGCTGCGAATGCGATGCCAGGCAAGCTCCCACAGTAGATTGCCGTCAAGCCAGCTGAGGGCCTGAGTGTAGTGTGCCAGCCCGCTCTCCCCCAGCCATCGCTGCACCCGCTCCACGTCCCACAATCGTACGGCCGGCGAGGGCGCCTGGTAAGCCAGTACAGCCTCTTGCTCCTCCTCCCATTGTTGCTGCGACTGCAGTCTCGAGCTGGCCACACTCTCCTCACCGTTACTCCAGACCAAGAATGCCTGAGACCCACTGCAACTCCCACTCCGAAGACGCGAGACTGCAACCAGAAGTGATGTTTGCCTTAGCACCATGCCAACGCGTTGCTTTAATTACATCGCCCATACCTCTCTCTGCGTCACTGGAACGAAGGTATGTAAAGATACGACTTAAGAACGTTTTTAGAGCCGCATAATGCGCCATAAACTCATTATATCGTTCAATTGGTCAAAATTAAACTAGCCCTTACGATTCGTGATTAAACTGATCTTCCAGTATAAGTCACTGTCTGATCAAAACCAATAATGTGTTCTTGATGCAAATATTCAATGACCTGGTTAGCACGCATTGTATTGAGTGCTGGATATGACGTAGGGAGCAGATTAATCCTAAAACAAAAAGCACCAATTCTTTGGGAAATGAAAAATCTAAGAAGATGATAAAATTCCCACCGAAGGGATCTATATGTAAGAAAAATCATCAAAATATATGCACAGTTTAAAGTTAATAAATCGGGGAAAGTCGCACATCTTTTTAGAGCTTCATAAGAAGCTTCACAGAGGATTTTGCAAAGACAACTAACTTCAAAAGCACGCAAAATGGCAAAGCCTACTGACTACTGGGACACCCAAACCTACTAAATGTCCTAACATACCTGTGACAGGAGTTGTATTTAAACGAGAGCAAAATTATGTGAGCAATAATTGAACCATCTAGAGCACTTGGGAAACCACTTATACTTACACTATATTTGGTCGCTAAAAATTAATTAATAGAGCTATTGCAAGATTGAATATTGATAGACCAAAACACAAAAAGCCAACTCCAAAAATTGAAGAACATTCAACGACTAACACAATACCAACCAGCATTGTATCGTAACTCAAATCTGGAGGCCCAAAAAGAGGAAACTTACAGGTAGAAAAGGATGAGCGCTGACAATTTTGGCAGACAGATGCAGTAGCGCATTCACCAGGGGTTGGAGTTGAAGCATTGCTTGACTCTGAAATGAAAAATAAGCCAGCTGTTGACAAATTATTTTAATAAAGTTTCAAAGCCATATTCAAATACTGCTGGGAAAACAGTGACACTTATGCATCGACCTAATATCGATACCGTTGGTAATCTGGTAATGAAATGCGGAAAATAAGACCATAACGTCCCGACACCATCCCGGTGTTACGATATCGAAACACATAAAGGGAGGCTGTCGGGCGGATATCGGTATAAACACAAAACTGTTTCAATTTTCATAGACTAAGGCGATGAAAAGCTGAATTCACACCATATTTGACTATACATAACCAAGCTTAGCTAAACTGAAGCCAAACTTTCAGTGCTTCAATAAATTAAGATTGGAAAGGACCTGATCCACACTGACAATCTCAATTGAATGAATTTTATAGTTGTTTTTGACATACCTGACAACAATTGCAGACGGACTCCCGGTCCCGTGTGGTTCTTTAGAGCAATAGAGCGCCATGGTGATGCAACGGAAGGTGGAGAGACGGACTCAGAGGGATCGGGATCATCGTCCGTACTGGTGATTGCCCTTACAATCCCGTACTTCGTGAGAGCCAAAGATAGGGACTCGGCAGCCCGCTCGAAGTCATCGCGGTCAGTAAATGATGTGTAGATGACGGTTGCAAGAAGGTAATGGAGCCAGGTTTCCGGTTCGTAGTTGCTTTCCAGAAGCACTGGTACAAGGGCTACACCGTAAGACAGAGCGGAGAGAACCTGCTGCCGGCAAAATGGAGAAGTGCTAAAGGAGTAACTTAGGCAGAGGATCAAAGCAGATGCGTCTTCTAGCGCTTTCTCCATTTCTACAAAACAAAGACGCAAATGTGTGAAAAGCGATTGGCTTAAATAAATAAGGTGATAGGCTTAAAAGGACGCGGATACAAGCTTGACTGTTGAAAAGTGGCATGAGATATCACAAAAGGCAGTGGAACGGCACTAGACTATGTTTATTAACCGTTAAGTTCATTATCACGAAATTCCTTGAATTGCTACAATGGGGACTAGGTAAAGGCATGCTCACAAACCAGTTACGCACTCGGCTAAAACAAAGTTTTGAGCATGAGGACATGAGAAAAGCTACGAGACCAAAACCAAAAGTTTACACGATAGGATAAAAGCCAAATGCTTGGCTGGTCAAATTTGAAAATTTGAATCACATTAAAGAATAGGTTGGCTTGCCCTAAGTCCATTTAAAGTGAAAAAAATGTTATTCAAACTCGCAATATACAACCTACTCGTACTACAAAAATTCTTTTTGTGTCCCACTCACATGGATATTACATTGTCATAAAGACTTAAACGGTTATTCTGATGAGTATTTTAGGATGTTTTGACGGCAGAAAAATGTATCCCATAGTATGCAATACGATCCTGATAGTCATATTCCCAGCATATTGAAGCTAAGTAAACAGCACTTTATGGAAGATGAAAAGGCAAATACGATCCACAAAAGTCCTTATAGGCTATGTAGAAAGACGTACCCATCCTCTCAGGTTCAAAATACACATTGTAGCCGCGTCGTTTAAGTGATCGCTTTAAGAAATCTACAGTTTTGCGATGGTTTGTCCGATTGCAAGCAAAAACAATGTACCCATAGGGATTACCAGTGGCCGAGAGGGGGGTATATTTAATATTTCCCCCTTCGAAGTCCGTCAGTGGTTGAGAAAGTGACCACAAAAAGCCCTCAACCGTTTCCCGACAAGTTGGCGAGCGACTGCTGTCACCAAATTCGCGACAGAGACTAATAAGTGATGGATGCTGAGATAACTGCTCTCTCGTTTCGGATAGGAAGCAAAGTTGCCACAACAACCTTACTACTTCTGTGGCCAAATTGTCTGAGTTAGTGTTAGGAACAGGAGACTGAAGCAATGTATTCACCTTCAATTCAGGAAGAACTTTTGCAATTTCCAACATTGTCGTAATGTCATCGAGAATGTGACCTTCTAGCAGCAGTCGTTTATTAGCATCAAAACGAGTAAGGCCATTAAGTCCACGTAGGAGATCTCGCAGATGATGTTTGTGGAGGGATGAGTACAGATCTTGCGACTTAAGGGCGACTCTGACAGCAGAAAGGAGGTATGTCACATAATCTTCTACGGCGTTGATAGACTTGTTTTCACGTTCATTAACTATAGGTATTAAAAGCAGAAGAGCACACATTTTTAAATATTCGGATTGGCTTCTTGACTTGCGTACCTTGCAGGTCATAAGAAAAGGGCGCAAGATATGCACTCCATTACAGTTGCGATAACTACTCACAGAAACTTGGGTTCGCGTTAAAATATGCAAAAGAATACCAAAAGACCAACAAACTAACACCGTCGTACGCGAATTCTGGACACACTTTGTTGCAACTAAGTCTCTGCAAGAGACAAAGCGCCACAAGCAATCATAAACCCCATGAGTACTTAACTTCTCACATACCCAATTACCGACCATGCAGTGTTGTCTACAAATATGCCATAGTAAGCCGTGCAACTTCGTGAAATTATTGACTTGAGCAGACCGCGAATTTGCCAGAGCGGTAAGTTTGGGTTCTGACACAAAATAATCCAAGCAGTTTTTATAATAGCAAATGAATTTTTCACCACCGCATAGTTTGACGAGATTGGAGGTACATATTTTATTTCCAAGATGATCCGTTAGCTCCCTCAAATCAGTAAGCAGATGAAGGGTACTTGGTAGGTGCAAATTTTCCCTTGGATGAACAGAAAAAAGTGCATCGAGTCGTTCGAGGATATCTGAAAAGTCTTCTTTTTGGGGAATAAACATCGAGGGCGCGAAATTCGAGGAAGCGAAAGAGCACACTAGGAATTACAGCCCTGACAAATTAAAGTAGGCGCAGCCAAGTATATATGACCTGACACAATCGTATCTGGCTTTAAATATTTTTGATATTTGAATAACCAAAAGTTCTTTTAATAGTAAAATGCCGTACAAGTTTTAATCAGCTAGTCAAATATCTATTTAAGGCTGTTATAGCAGAAAGGGGCAATTAGTAAAAACGTTTTCATTGAAAATGTCCACATACGCTTATAATCTGCGTTTTTGAAGTTTACTTTTTAAGATAAGATTATAGGCACTGTTTCGCATGTTTTCATTATTGCAGAAATAATTGATCTAAAAAAGTGGCAATTCAGCTCAATACCTAATTTGGCAAAAAATTGTAGTGATTGCGCAGCTCGATATTGTTTTCATCAATGCTTGAAATTTATTTAGCTGAAACAACAATCTTCAACGTACCCCTTCATGCTGCTTTGGTTAGTTATACGAGCAAATACAAGCAAATTCTCTAAAATTAGTTGTAGTGAACCGAAGCCTCCCTAGGGACAAAAGAAGCTATGATACTTAGGCAGAATATACACATTCGACGTGCAGTAGGACTTATGGCTATTAGGATGGCCTGCATTTAAGCCTATTCTGCAAAGGGGGAAGCGGTGCAGAACTATAGTGTTTCCTTCATAAAAATGAGAGTTAAAAATTAGTATATTACAGGGTTTCTCTCCTTTTTGAGCGTCGTCTAATGCTGCGAGAAAAT